CCCCCCCTACTCTCCAAATCTCCAAAACACCGCACAGCCGCACCCGGCTACAGTGAACGGGGAGTGAAGGGAAAGACAGTGATTGGTGTGATAACTCTTTCCGGCCTCGTTATTGGCTACTCTTGTGGCGAACAGCCTTTCTGCATTCACTATAGTCAGGTACGACTACCGGTATACCTTAACCAATTGAGAAGCAGGGTATCTACGGTAGGTCCTCCCGGCGCAAACCCGACTTATAACATCATACCAGAGTATTACCATGGAGCAAACAGCAAGGCAGCCAGCCGGCAACTAACCCCGAACAGGAAAGTTTCCAGTGATAGCGTTACAAAACCCCACGGCAGAAGATCAGCGGGTGGTTTCCAACGTATTATATCACCGAATGGAAGATCCAACCCCCCATCATCCGTCGAACGGGCGTAGTGTCCGAACTCTGCAATTTCCGTCTACATAGTGCAAAAAAGAGAGCCGGCATTCCTCCCGCTGCATGGTTGGTGCCGAGCGAGAATACTATATATAGCTTCTCAGGGCCGAGGACGACATCCCGACCCCTCGATCACCATCACCACTGTATTGTAATAATATGATATCATACAGCGGGCATCCAGCACAGCCAGCGACACCGTTGCCGGCAGCAGTCCGGACACTTCTCGCCTTGCCAAAACCCCGCAATATAATAACTGCAAAGTAGTCCACCGGGGGCACAGCCGTCGGCAATATCATACCTAACCCAAGATGGCGCTCTGCGCACAGAGATTAACTAAAAACCTGACATGCAGTCGGCTTGAACGAAATAATAATAATAATAATAATAATGATAAATTTCTTCGGTAATCCGTCATAGTGCACAGTACTCGTATGCTTTTGTTCCCACCAAACGCTAGATAATGGATAAAAGAAAAAAGAAAAAAAAACTCCCTGTAGCCACGATCGGAGTTGGAATCGATGCTTCACATCATTTAGTATGATATCACACCAAGTACCGGTATGTTAAAGTACTCGCACAGCACCATACGAAACAAGCCACTGCAGAGGATTTCGGCCGCTGATTCCAAACAAATTAGCTAAAGAAAAACAAGAAAAGAAAAGTAGGGAATAAATAAATATATAAATAGTCGTAGAGACTTCCCACAGAATTACTGTACGATGCAAGAGGAACCATCTTTAAGGGGGGTTCTTTTCTTTCTTTCCCTGACGCCATAACCCGAGAACCTTTGGTGGGGCGGGGGCGGGGGGGACCGACCCTATATATCATGTGTTCTGCGAGAACTCCACTGCGCGACACCGGTATGATATCCCATCCAGGATGGAGGGATGGACGAGCGTCGGGGGGGGGGGGGGGAAGAGGGAGAAGAGAGAAAGAAAAAGAAAAAAAGTAATAGTGACAACTAGTGCATTGCAGGGGAATCGAACCCCTGCCAATTGCTTGGAAGGCAATTATCCTACCACTGGACCAGCAATGCGCTATACACAAACCTCTTCAGTTTTCAATACTTATTTCATCCAATCAGGCAGCAAATACGTGATGACGATTATGATGCGCGCCATCACTCCCCCACCCAACCCTTACCTCATCACCAATGAAAGCAGACACAACGGCCCAGCACGAACAATCACCCGCCAAGCTCAATAACTCCTCTCCTTGCTAATGTAGACACACTCATTATGCATTACCAACTAACTATAAATCACCTAACATAGACTAGATAGATACAACAAATGTTTGATGTACTTTACGTACAGTAATCCCCCCAATACTAACCGTTTCTCGCCCGAGCGGCTTCCTTTCCCTCCCTCCCCCCCCCACTTCCCAATTGTAAATTATCCCCCACGTAAAATGCAAGAAAATTGCAAAACGAAAAAAAAAAAAAAAAAGCAATCATATTTCTTTTTTTGGTAAAGGAATGGGTTCCGCGACCTTAGATGACGCCAAATGTTTTGGAAAGAAGTACGAAAATAAAATAAAAAAGATAAATGCTAGGGAGCACTTCGATGCATATATATAGTATGGCGTAATAACGGGGGGGGGGAAAGGAGTTGCGAAAACGGAAGAAAAGTGCTACCGATGCTAAGGGAAAGTAGGTGTATTTTTAGGTTGTCCGGCTCCCAAGTCCAAGGAACGTATGCCATGATGCCACATAGGAAAGAATCGGATGGATGCAGAAACAGTGAGAAAAGATGGGAAAACAAAATGGAAAATGGAAGAGAAGAAACCCCCAGAAGCAAATAGAAAAAAATAAAAAGCAATATGCGTAGGTCAACCAACAGGAAAGTAAGTCAAAAGGGATCCCTAGGGCTAAGGCTAATAAGAAAGGGCAAAAAGGGAGTGTAAAGGAAAGACCCAGATGTGAATTGAAGCCGTCGAAAACCCAGGCCCCGCCTCACATAATTATGCAGTCCCCGTCACCGGTGTCTCGGCTCTTTTCGAGAACGCCCCTGCTGCCGGTCTTCTCCTTCTTCTTATCCTTCTTCGTGGGTGAGCCTCCCGACGCGGCCTCCTGGATGACCTTTAATCGGGCAATTGCGCGCTCATCGCCGTGGCCGGCAGCCTTGACATACCAGACATTGGCCTCCAATGGGTCCCTCCGGCATCCAATGCCCATCTCGGTGAAATATCCGATAGCGTACTCCGCTTTTGGAAGACCTGTGCGTGAACCATTAGCCCACGACCACAACCGACAGCTCAGTGATAGCAAACCATATTCGGAAGCCTTCAAAGCCCATTGATAAGCCTCGTCCTCATTCTTTTCCAACACCGGTGCAGCACCAACAAGGTACCAAGCGCAGAGAGCCATCATAGCCATAGCATTCCCTCTCTGTGCAGCGCCAGTGTAAAAGTGGACACTCAACGCTGCATCACGCGGGCAACTCAGTTTTCCATGCTCGTATGCATCGCCCATACGATAGTAGGCATCTGGGTGCCCCAATTCCGCAGCTTGGGTAAAGAGTTGTGCGGCGTAACCCTCATCTTGGAAGACATCATCCCCGTATCCGGTTTCATGCATACATCCTAGCTCATACGGCGCATTCGGGTACTGAGCATCCGCTACATCGGTCGCGCGCTTCAACCATTTTACACCCTCCTTGTAGCGGCCTTGGAGCCCCAGATCCGACCGCAGACAGGCCATCCCCAGCCGTGTCATGGCGCCAGGGTGATTCTTGCTCGCCGACTGACGATAGAACTGAACAGCCTTCAAGGGGTCCTTTCGCGAACCCCAGCCAAATTCAAAGCACAAGGCCGCCCTGTACCCAGCTTCCGCATGACCGTGCTTGGAGGCCGCGACAAATAACTGGAAAGCCTTCTCATTTTCCTCCTTTCCTTTGTTAAAAAGTCCGGAGGCGTAAGCATCAGCAAGGTAATATTGAGCTTGCGGCAATTTTCCGGCCAATCGTTCAAGGATCTGACGAGCTTCGCGGAGGGTCTCATTCTTGGAAGCATTGGAGCTTGCTTCATATGGATTATTCAGGTCACCCTTACCTCCAGACGCCCTCGGGGATGGCGTCCCCGACTCACCTCCATCACCAGTGCTCTGGGCCGCTTGTATCATAAATACGGCCAACTCGTACTGCAAGTAGGGATCTTGTGACTTCTTCGCATTTGCCCGGTACATCTCCAAGGTCTGCTTGTTTGTGAGAAGTGAAGCGTTCGCGCCGACCTTGTTCCTTAGATGAGAATTGTCGAACGAGGCGATAGGGGGCGGCGGGGCTTGCATGTGCACAGGCTGTGTCAAATCGGTATAGGACGACCTCCGACTGTCGTAGGAATGTGTACTAACAGCTCGCTGGTGCGGCGATCCGGGAGACCTTCCACGGCCGTCAATGGACCAAGACGAATACACGGAAGAAGACCTGGAAGGGTCCCTTCGATAGTTGGGTTCTGGTGCGGCCAAATGTCTCCCACTGGGCGGTTGGCCATCGGAAGAGGTTGGTGATGATGAATTCCTCCTGGGATACGGACCTGTTCCGCCGGCACCGAGCCCTCCGCTCCCATTATTTTCCCGGTAAGCGCCGTTCTCGGAAAATTGGTTGTGATGGTACTGGAGTTGTGGATACATTCTGGCGTCTTCGCCCGAGGAGGCCTGGCTGGCGGGAGATTCGCGCCCCGGGCCCTCATCCCCAAAATTAGACGACGAACGGTGGCTCTCTCCGGAGGATATTATCGCCATCTGGGGCTGAGGCATTGGTCCGGCTTGATGGGTGATGTGGTGGTGGCTAAAGGTAGGCGAGGAAAGAGGAGCTTGCACAGGTGGGTCTTCCTCCCTTCTTGCGTCAAGGACGAGGTCGGGTGACGGGGTTTGAAGGTCGCGAGACTCCAATGATTGCACAGATTGTACACGTCCATGGAAGGTTGGCAGTCTTTGTTGGTACTGCTGAGCGGTCCCTTGCATGGGCGAGTCGTGTTGAGCATGCTCAGGCGAGGGGTAGGGATTCTGGTGAGTAGTGCCATGCTCATTGATGCCATTCAACTGGAGACTTTGCTGTCTCTGATGAACAGGGGAGGATGGCGGAAGACTCTTACGGCGTACCTGCTGCATAGAATTTCGTGGAGATACCGGGGAAGTTGGCGTTCGTGGTCCGTAGCTGTCCCTGCCTGTTGACGCGGCGACCGTTCCGCCGGCAGAATCATGGGAAGAGTTATTTAGCGAATACATTTGTGCGACCGCTGCGGTGGTCATTGTAATTCCTGTTCGTACTATTTCCGCAGGTGCTCGTCAGTTCCCTCGCAATAGGTTGCTGCCCGCAAACCACTTATATCTGTGGGCCCTTGAGACAATTGAGTGATCCAAGGATTCTATGTTTGCTGCTCAAATATCTGTTCCAGACTATTAAAAAAATAAAAATAAACAAAATAGGGGAATAAAAAATAAAAAGGGAAGGGAGAGGAAGGGAAGGGAAGGGAAAGGCAAGGAAGGAAAAGGAAAGGAGCTGAATTGTGTATCATACCTATTCCCCTAATTCCTCCCAAGGACCTAGACCCCAAGCCTAAGCGTTGAGTGCTTCCGTAGGTTTAATTCGTTTTAGGGGTTGAGCTTGAAACCAAGGAATCACCAAACAAGGAAAGTTTGGGCAATCAGTGGTATGATACTGAGAAAAGTACGAGTACAACCTCAAAGAGGAGCGTATGCCGGTAGAGACAGTTGCTCGGGCGTTTGCTTCTCCCCAGACGCAAGCTCGTCTAGACCGCAAAAAAGTGCTGTAAATTCAACGGGTTGAGGAACCAGTCAGCTCTCAATCCGCAAAATAAGAGGTACCTCCCCCTTATGCACACAGACGGCTACCGTTTCTAGGGAGGTCGACAGGAAAAAGGGCTTCAGAAGTGTAACTTACCTCGGAATTCCCACAGATCTTCTTGCAGAAATGAGGGAAAGTGGGTGTATTATGAATTGCTGGAGGGACGAAAGAAAGTGTTGTTTTCCTTGGAACGGGTGCCCCGGGGTTTGGACTTCTTGAGTTCCGACTGGAGGATGCAACGACCGGTCCAAATTGTGCAGGTTTAAGAAGCACAAGAGGCAGTGGTGCCTGGGTAGAATAGCAATGGGGGGTTACGGCGCGTACTGTACCGGTTCCGTACTATCAAATAGCCTACGGCAGAAGCCAGCGAGAGCGAAATTGAGGCTGAAAAGCGTCAAGGCCTTCTTTCTTTTTTTCCTTTTTCTTCCCTTTTTTCCCTTAAAGTTCTTGAACCCCCTTCCCTTCCGTGTATGCAAGCCTGCTGTGTAGTGGCACAAGTATCTTTTTTCCTCGGACCCTTCAATAAATAAGGAACCTTTCCCCCAATCAACAAGTTAATCAAGATCCTTGGCTTGCTGATCCCCGGTACCGGGCAAACCTCTTCCTCCCTTTCCGAAAATCAGAAAAGCAACAATTCCCCTCCAGAGAAAGCCCGGAATGGGGAGGGGGGGAACTATCCTAACTCTTCGGACGCCAGGGGATTCCGTACGGGTCGGAAGTGGGGGTGCTGCCAATACTTCGGGCTGCTCGACAAATGGGCAAAAGCGAAGTGGAGGTGGCTGAGGCAGAAGTACTCGAGTACTCGTACACTTGCCGGTAAGTGACGTTTAAGCAATCGGGGTGAACGAGTGTAGGTATTTTCTCCTAGTTTTTCCGCTCGCCCTCTGCACCCCACCGAAGCAAGCGAGCGACAATGAGAGAAGATAGCGAGTGTGATGGGGGGGGGAGGGGGGGGGCGTGGACGGAGTGAACGAGAGGAGTGGAGAGGAGGGGTGAAGGGAAATTCTAGGGAAAGATCTCACGAAGTATGGGGGCGATACCGGTATTCAAGAAGCTACCATTTAACATACGAGTACAAGCGCCGCTGGGAGCGAGAAACACCAGGGGAAAAAAATAGAGGAGAGAGCAGGATACAAGTGCGGCAAAATGGAGACAGCCATCCCCTCCTTTTGCTAGGATAACCGAGTGGGCTTAGGGGGAACGAGCGAGAGGCATGACCAAGACCAAGACCAAGACCAGAAGAAAGCCATGGCAGAAATGGCTGGGCCTGGCTGGGTGTGTGGGATGCACGGGGAGGGCTTGGTTTTCAATGTCGAGTCCTTCTGGAGGGCGGGTAAATTTGCATGCACAATATTATCATATCCCTCCTCACCTCGTGGACCGTGGATGTTTCGGGAAGAGGAGGCTCCAGGGAAAGGGCGGATCGAGTGTTCTACTCTAGCACTCTACCGTGCTCGTACCTGTACTGTACTAGTACGCCATGCACGGTGCTCGAGTACAGCCAGTACCGGTACGTGTGATGCCTTCCAAAACCGAAGCCAGCGAAATTCGTTCCCATACATATTCAGACCAGAGCAACCGCAATCGCTTTGGGAAGGGACGGAACACAAGTGCAGAGCAGGTACAGGTACCATAGCAGAAGGGAAATGCGGTAGCTCCCAAAGCAACCACCCATACAGTGCTGCGCGGTATGGGAGAGAAGGCGGAGGGGATCCGGGTAAGGAGGCAGAGGATAGAATGGCGATGACGAAGAGCTGAAATAAATATTACCACGATAATATACCATACCATGCTGTACCGCACTCGGGCTCGTCCGGTATGGTGATGCCCTAGGTAGAAAAGAGCGATGCCTCATCGCTATCGATGTGCGAGGAGACAGCAAGCGTCTGCGGTACCGTAGCGGTACGGCGCCCTTACCGGTAGTGTAGGTGTGGCGATAGGTGATGGACAGTGGGGAATAGGACCGTACCATCCCGGTAGAGTACGAGTACCTGTACGAGTACTCGTACTCGTCCTGTGCTGTCTTGTACTCGTGCTTGGGTAGTCGAGTACCGGCAGCTGTCCCTTTCCATCACAACCCTCCACCACCTCCCGTAGTCTGCAGCACACGAGTGCTCGCGCATCACCCTTAATCCCATCGCCCCGCAAGTCTCCCTAGCGGCATGACTCTACAAATACCATACCGGTATTCCAAGGTTTGAAATTCATCACCAGTGACTCGCACTACAAGTGTAGTTTCGGAGACACTGGATTACGTGTACGAGCACTTGTACGAATGGAGTGGTGGCAAAAAATGGGGGGTGGTCTCGTTTTGGTATGAGGATGGGGATTCAATGCAGAATAGGGTAGGCTCTGCATGTGGTACAGTACTCGAGTGCCTTACTCGGAGAGCTTTCGTGTACCGCGGAGCAATTCGGGCAGGGGGGCAAGTCAGTCAAGGGCAACAGGTGTGACGTGGATTGCCCGAGCACAGCACGAGTACTAGTTCTGGTACTCGAGTACAGTATTGCACAGTACGGGCGCAGCACGGTGCAGCAAAGTACTAGTACTTGTACTTGCTCGAGCAGGTACAGTGCTCGTATAGGAATACGGTATGCGGACCCACGGGAAGGGTTCAATAAAGGAGGGTGGTACTTGTACTCGTACCTTCAAAGCGGAAAGGCAGCCGGTAGGGAGGGGGGTGGGGCGGGGTGAAAAAGGGTGAAGAGAAGATGGAAGGGGAGGGAGGGAAAAGATGTTGGACTACCGGTATCAGAATTTACGAGAAGGTGTCTCTCCTTCTCTCCTCTTCCCTCGTTCGGATCTTGGACCCTCACTCACACACCCAACGCGCGTCTTTTTCTTTTTCAGCTCTTTCTTTCTTTCTTTTTCTTCTTTCCAGTCCTTGCTTCTGCCGCCAAGTGAACACGTTTTCCCCTGTCAGGTCAGCGCTTCTTTTGTCCCGAAACCGCGCCGGAATTCCCTCGGATTCCTCCGTCAAGAGCGGATGATAAACAGAGTGCCGGTACGAGTATGATGCTCGCACCAATATCGGTACAGGGCAGCGAAATTGAGGAATGAACTTCACCGCCGGAATCGCAATTGACGATCCGTGGACCTCGCGAATCAATCTGGACAGGAGTCCTTTCGAGCCCCCACCCCCCCCCCCCTCCCAATATTAGCGTGTGCTGGACACAAGATCCTCGTAAACATCTTGGCCCTTGCCGCTACCCGCCAAGGCACCATCAGTCATATAAAACCTAATCCTTGTTTCTGCTATCCTGCTATTACTCTTCTAGTTAGGTTCCAAGCAGCTACACATATTTTTTAATTATAGAATTGTATTTTGTAGTCAGTTTAGAGAACGGTGATGAAAAGAAGAAAAAAAACTCATTTTTTTACAATATACCGGTACTTTTGGTTAGGGTTCTTTGTGATCCCAAGCTACACTGCTACACTCGTACTGGCCGGGGGCTAATGGAGTCTGGAGGGGCTCTGCGGATTTCATCTTTTCCCCCTTGCGGAATCCTCATTGGTTCTACTTGTACGAGTACACACTCTTTGCATCCCCGTCTCATCTGGTCTCTTTGGAATATCCCGGAAAGCTGCACCCGAACATGGTGCCGGTGCCCGCTCCTCATAACCCGCCGCGTGTCTCACCTCTAATCAAGAATACCAGTCCTAAAATATCGATATGGAACATACATGATCGGGAAGTCTCCGACAAGAACCGATTAGTCAGCGATCACTTTATTTCCTCCTTGTCTTACTGCGCTCCCTCCCATGCAAGCCCTGTACGGTAGGTCTGTACGACCACAACCGGAAGACTGGAAGGAAAATCACTCCGTAAATATCTTCCAGTGACCGATTAGGAAATCTTTACTGGGAGGATCTTCTTCAGAAATAGTAGCTTCTATTCGCCGGTGTTGTCGCAAGTTGAAATATCGGTCATTCCTGTAGAGAGTTTGCGCCCGCGGACCTAGGTGGCTGTAGATTTCATTAACATAAGTTATGCCAAAAGGTCTGGATACTAATGAGAGCCAAGTGTAAGGCAGCTCCAAGTGAAATAAAAGGTATGAAGGATACAATAATCATGTAATAATATTGATTTTACATTCTCTACTCTGACTCTCAACACCTAACATTACACTCAGCGGTTGTAACCCAACCCCCAAGTCACCTGGATCCTATGCGCGGGCTCTTTCCATCTTCTATGTCCTTTTTGCGGTAACTGCCACCTACGGTAGCTCTGCGGGCGCAAACCCTCAATACCCATCTTGTGTCATCAGTAATAGAGTTTTTGAAATGGCCCCAATGCTAAACTTTTTATGGCTCCTAGGGGACTATTCCAAAAGAGGTGCTAATTCTTGGCGCGGAGGCACGCGTGCACCAACAAATGCCAAGATATAAACCGACACTTGGCGCCCCACAGCAAGGATTAAACCTTCCATCCGTCCTCCCTCCCTCCCTCCCTCCCCATCTCATCTCCTGTCCTCTCCTCACGGACCTACCCATCCTTATATACTTACTCCTCCGAACACGCTAAACATATCCTACACGTTAAACACAACTACCACAACTGACGCCGCCCCCTCCCGGGAGGTATTTGCTATCTCTAGAAAGGCGTCGGGTTTGGCTAGCATTAACGGGCCATACGTCCTCCTCCGCCTCGCTCAAGTACTAGCTAATGTGGTTACCGCCATCTGCTCTCACGCTCACTCTCGGCCATGACTGGACAACCAGGTCAGTGTCCCGGCAAGGCGGGCCGGGAATCAGCACGGGTGACAGCAGTGGAGGAGCTGATGCAGGAGGTGATGCCATCCAGCAGGTGTGCGGACTGCTCAAGAAAGCATGTGATCAACACTTGGCACAGTGCCATGATGCAGGAATGGTTTGGATTGTGACGTAGTAGTGGTCTATAGCTATCGGCTTCCTAATTGGGGCTTTGTGCGGCCATGCCATATCACAGGCTTTGTGCGGACGTGCCATATCACTGGTCACTGATGCGGCCATGGGGTGTGACCTACACGCATGTGAGGTAGGTTTGGGCAGCGTTAAAAGCATGCGAGCTTGACACTGCTACGGCTTTGACTCCATCGCCCAAGAGGGGTTGTTGCTGGCGGGTATGCGCTCTACTCAAATAGGTTGTAAGGCGAGAAGTGGCGCTTGGTGCCAAAGGCTCTAAGCAATGCAATCCAAATGCTTGGCTTCTCCTTCTGAAGCTCCCTCTCCCACGCTCCGGTAAATTGACCTCCCGCAGGGTGGGTTGTGTCGATCTTACAAAGATTCCAGAGATCCTTCAGCAACTGCATAAGCAAGGTGGAAATCCCCGCGCCCTCAACGCATGCCACCACGATAAGTCTGGGAAGCCGCTGTTTGTGATCGTGCAGGTCCACAGAAGACCGAAGCTAGACACCGTGAATGACGATGAAGGACAGCCTATAGAAGAGCAGAACCCCATTGGGGACCCAGGATCGGTCGTGCTCCAAGTAGTGAACAGCAAAGGCTACCCGGAGACCAACACAGGAGAGAATCGGCGACCAAAATCGATCATAAAACTACGAATTGGAGTATTCGACCTGTAACGAAGCGAGCAATGAGGAAGCCGCAATTGCACCCGCAACCAAAACCTGCAAACGTCATATCCCGTAAGCAGGCCTCCCCCGTCAACAGAAAGTACCCGAAGGTTCGTACTATGGAAGCCACAACTCACCAATTTCAAAGTATAGCTCCAATCCCTAACCGTACCCACTGGCTTCTGCCGTGAAAGCCAATACACTTGGGGTGCTCCGAAAAGGATGACCCCCAAGCTGACTCCATCGATGATGGAATCCAGAAATCAAGACTGCTCCCCGAGAATTGAAATGCAACGAATTTCTGTTACAACCCTTCCGGGTCACCACAAAGATTCCCCCGCATTTACCTACAAATCAGGGGGAACAAGAGGGAGCCTATAGTCCCCAAATATAATGTGATGCTTTGATTTCAGAAGAGAAGGCTGGCTTAGAAAAAAAAAGAAAGAGAAAGAGAACACCCGGTGCACAAGTATCGTAGCAGGAGCGAACATCGTTCCTGCAAGCTTGGATATGGCTAGGGAGAAACAGATGGAAAGCCATTCAGCGAATCTTGTGCGAGAGGCGGAGTGCGCAGGGCAGGGGGGCGGTGGGGGGGTGCGGGCGGAGTTGCGTTGAGGTGGGGTGGAGGGGTGGAGAAATACTGTAGCTATAATAGCGCTCAATACGATATCAACGGGAATCAGTCACCAGTAACTGGTAGGGCTAGTACAAGGGTTTTTCCTTTTCTCATATGATTATGATCAGGGCATACATAGCACGACCCCTAGCTACTCCACAGTATGCAATCACAGGCAAATTTTATAGAGGCAAACCACAGTTCGGATCGGATACGTCGGAGTTCTCACGGATTTCATAGGCGGGTAGGGCGAACAATGGGACGTCTAAATTAGTCAAATAGAGAAGCTGAAGGAAAACCAAAATTTATCTGACGAGGACAGTATGGTATGAGTCTAAACGGACGATGGTACATACCGTACTTGTAAGCTTAACCCGGATCGTTTGTCACTTTCTCCCCTGGTGGGAATCATGAGTGAACCTCTTAATCCCTTGTTGGTTGGTGTCTATGAGGATACCTCGCTGCTAAGATGCTATTGCAGTTGCATTGCCTTGGCACCAAGGTGTCTGCATAGCAACTGAACCAGAGTGCAGTTCTTTTCACACTTCTACCCACCGGTCATCAAACTTTCTTTCGTTTTCCCTCTTTCACTTTTCTTTATCAATTTTTCCTTCGTTTTTCCTCTTTCTCTTTTCTTCCCTTCTCCCCCATCAATTCCCCCCTTTGTTAATCTCCTCCCCTCGAACTTCCTCCGATTAAAAACAATGTCCTACCTGAGTAAGAATACCCATTTATTTGACCCTTGCTTGATTGCTGGCTGACCAATGGACATCACTGAAGAACTGGTTGGAAAGCTCGCGAACCGGCTACTGTAAGAACTCGAATAATTGAACCTCGCACTAGGACGTCCAGAATTCCCTCTCTTGGATAGGAGG